AATAGTACCCGCAAAATGGGTGGGAATGGACTCGTGGCAAAATAGTATGTGTACCATATGCATAGTCAGCAGAATCCGGTGTACGAATTGGTTTTCGCGGGTAGATTAAACGTGAAGCAATTTTCAAAAAACCACCACTTGTTAGTCTATACATGTATGTACAGCTTATTTTCGGGTGCGTATACGGGAAAACAGAAGGCATTCAACCGTAAGACTTGGAGAAATAATTTCATTTAACTTCCGTGAAACTCAAAATCGCACACGGTTGCGCAAATTGATTTTATTTCAAACGAAATGTCAGAACGTTTATTCGTCGTCAATTAATGTTAGTCCGGGCGAGGTTGCAGCATTTTTCCGGTGATCATTGTAGTTCTGAGGAGAGGGGGGAAATGAAAACGTTACGACGATGACAGACTTATCAAGAATTTACAAAGGCCTAGAGTTGGACATCGAACCATACATTTAGACGGTAAATTAAAGTTTATAAACAGAATATCCCTAACTTGTGCTATATCCGTTATAAATGTTCGCGAACACATTGCATATATAGGTACAGTTAAGAAACAACATTATTTACCAAGTTAAAACGTAACGTGAACATAAACTACAACCTAAGTTATTTCAGATGGTTAGCAACACATAGAAAATGCAGCAGTAAAAATTTGACGCGTTTATTATACATAATACTCGAACGCAAAGCTCGTAAGTTTAATTAACTATCGTATGCAAAACATATTAATAATAGTTCTGTAACAATAGTTTTCTTAAATTTTCATCAGCTCAGTTGCATTTCCCTAATTTTTGCATTATTGAAATATTAAAAAAGTTAAAACAACCGATAAAACCAAATTATGTATCGTACGTCGAATCGTATCGAACTTTGGTGAACAACTAAATCAGACCAAATTTCGTCCACATAATAAATATAATTCCTTTGATTTACCGCTCTTTTATCAAATGCAAATCATTCAATGAGGATAATGAACATTCGCGGGTGATATCTACACTTTAATAAACGTGTCGTCACATGTACCTTCGTGAAAATTCGTGTGGACGCGGCTAACAGGAAGACACAAAAATACACAAGTGTGCAATGTTTCATATTTTTTTTGATTTTTTTTTAATTTTTCTTCCCGTATACCTATATTATGTAAATTATATTTCATGCAATAAAATGCATATTTTCCATATTTTCCAATTTTTTACTGCTTATTATGATGTTTTTCAACGCATATGTATACGCATATTTGAATATTTTTAGCACATATAGTTCTAAGCCTTGTTTATAATCATAAATGTAATATTTATACCTTCCTGACTTCGGTATTTTCATTAGGTGGGATGTGATTTGGCTGGGGAATTCAGGTAGATATTTTTAAAATTAATACTTACGTTCAAAAATTGAATGCGTTACAGACTAATACAAAATGATAATACATTGTTAATACTAAATGAAAAGTTTGATAAGACTTATTCTACAGACGAGAAATAATTAGTTATTCATAAAATGTTAAGAACCAAAGTTTAATGTTCATATTATATTCACTAAATCATTGAAATATAAACTGCAGTACGTCTATAAAATTAATTCGAATTATTTAATTTAAGTATTATATGAATAATATAATGTTAAAAAATAAAACATAATTTTTATGCAATAAAGATACTGAAACCGAGCACTTTAATCATTTTCCTCAGTTGGACCACGAAAAATAAAAATAATAAATAAAAAAGAAAATAACGTAACTGTAAGACCATTATAGTTATTTTCTGCAAATTCCTCGAGTTTTGCCTACAATCTAAAATACAAATACGAGAGCCATCATTATATTTGTATAATCACGAGCTCGGGATCCACATTTTTACAAACGATTAAACAGCAACATTGTATTATAATTGTGTTTACGGGTTGACTTGAATTATTAATGCCTAAGTAATTAAAAAAATAAAAGAAATAAAATATTTACGTTAAAGTGTTCATAAAATACCAAATGTTTAAATTTAAATATAATATATAACAACATCGAGTATTTTATTATTGAAAGTAAAACAAATTAAAAAAACTTTTCAAAGTTATTCACCCCAAAATCGTGCACGTACACACGGTGTTCGTATGATGAAGGGAGGAAACAAAATTACTCATTTATAGATTTGCCAACATTAAAACATAATATAGAGGTGATATACCTAAAACAGTGCCGTCTCGAGCGCAGAGTAAACGGGTCAATAACCCAAGGCCTTGCGTATATAAAATAATATAATATGTTATATTGTGTACATACAATTATTTCTAAACATTTGAGAAACGACTTGAAATTTAAATATGTTGCAGATAATATCAATGCTTACAAAGTTAAAAACTGTTTACAACAGACTGACTATTGTAACATAACAAACAATATTATTTTGAACTGATATAATTAAAATATACTGTTATGGTATGAGGTGAATTAGATTTTATTTTTGTATTGAGATTCTACTATTAGTACAGTGTCTACCTACCACAGATGCTCATTGATCGTCTTGTGAATATCGATTGAGTCCAAGAGCCTCGAATTCTAATGATGCCCAGGACCTTGCAAAACCTGAGAATGGCATTGCGTAAAAGATGTGAGGTACAAAGAACATAATGAGAGAAAAAATAATCATCTGCGCGTAAGACAGTTGCTTGTACCTGCATGTCATTTACGATCCTTGCGGTGTATACTATGTCGTGGTACGTGTGAACGTTCTGTTGCTCGTTATACAATTTTTTCCTGAATTAGTCGTTCTGCCCCATAATGTACATATATTGCCGGGTTGAACTCCGTGAGCCCATCTAACGGACCGTGAACACATTTTCTACTAACCCTGAGGGTCGTGTGATCACACTATATTGTTTTAATACTTTTGTGATACCCCGTTAAACACATATTTTCCGTATTTGGCGACACGAATGATTATCTATAGTAATTTCCAAGGTACGGTACATTAACAAAATGGATGTCTGTTAAGAGTCATTAAAAGTGTCTTGGATTACGAGGAGTTCGATAAGTTTCGAAACAGACCATCAAAAATGTTAGTCCACAATCCCCGATCTATCATGTACATTGTGTACATTTGTCTTTCGAAGATCGACTTAAAACGATCATTTTCTCGTGAAACGCGTGCTCGAGCAATGCCCTGTTGATAGCAAACACGTGCAAATCGTGTACATTTTTGCGAAGAAATAAAAACTTTCAAAGCTATATTATATACTTGAATAGGGCGTACGTTTCTTGATAACTGAAAAATGTAATTGAAAATCGAATTTTCCCGACGTTGATACAGTGAAATACTAATAATATATATATTTTACTTCGACATGCGAGTTAAGCGTGCTGCGTTTCGCCGACAGCAGTTAAGCGAAAAAAATTCGGATTCCGAACAACCGCCGGTCGAAGGATTCATGGTCGAGTGAAAATAGTCATCACGGCCGTATCGTAATAATACCACAGCTAACTTGCGAAACGAAGTTGAACAAATCGCGTGCGAATATTCTAATAAATACGAACGCTACAGGTAAATCGGACAAAATTTTTTATAGATTTCTCGGCGGAAGTCGGTCGAACATGAACAATTGTTCTCGTTAAAAAAATATAAATATAAATCTTATTCGTGCGCACAACACGAGATAATAATGTAATATGTCACAGAATATAAATAAACGCAATACTTCGATTGACCCACAACCATAATCGTGTGTCGTCGTCGACGTTTAATACGAATTCGTCGGACCAGTAGGTACGTGATGTCATCGTTGGGGTTGGAATAATAGTGCCGATACGTGCAGCCACGGTACACGTGAGTGGACGAAACGAACTGCGTTTAAAAGTGACTCTGCCAGCGTTTGTTAAACGATTCGAAATATAATTACATGCCAGTCGGACGCGTGGATCCGGTTGGATCGAGCATTATTTTTTTTTCCTACACTCCGTCGACCATCCTACCCCTCTCCTACCCGACACATGGTCGGACGAACCGTAATCTTCCGAAATTATGTTGATTGGATGCGTACCGGCGGCGCGCTGTGTGTATAATGTATAAAAAAGGTCAAGTTACGCCGGTAGACGACCGTGGCCTATCAATTCCGAACCGTCACGTATCCGTTTATTTTTTCATCCGAGGAAAAAAAAAGGGTAAAAAGTACGATTATCCACTTTCTCTTTTCCACCATTATTCGCCGCGCGTCCCCACACGCCCGTTTTCCTCCGATCGACAGTTTTTTAAATATTTAGACCCGTCCGTGGATTTCGGTCACGTTTTAATTTCGCTGTGCAAAGACTTATTAACGGGCGATTCGTACACGGACGTATACCGCATATAATGCGTGCACTACGTTTACATTTCCATTTTGTCTCCAGCGCAGCTGATCCGACCGTTCGAGATCGGTTTAACAACACGTTTTATCAATTTAAACTCATTACTGTACGCCTGGAGCGCATTTTCGAGTTCTCGGAACAAACTAAGGTGACGTGGTGTAATTTTTACGGGAAAACGTCACTTTCGGAGAGCACTCGTGTGCACGTACGGATCAGGTGATGTGGGGGTGGAGAATAACCGTCTCCGAACGTGTATTGCGTCCGTTGTTAAAATCAACCGTTGCTGAATGTACGCCATAATCGTGTACGAATTTGTTCGTATGCCGTCGCGATACACAATGTACTCGACCGCAAGACACTGCGTTACATAATGATAATAACATGCGACACGATACCAATATTATAATACCGTCAAGGGGAAACGGGAACAATAATTATCAAACGTCAGTTTATTAACAAAACCGATGTGATGGTAACACAATAATGTTATGCCCACGATGTGTCATTTTCTCGTGGTGGTGTCAAAACGGAGCGAGTGCCACAATAGACACGGGTGAAAGCACAACCATGTCGTTTCGGATACTGTACGTGCGATTGCAAACGCTATTTAATTATTTACAGTGCAGGTGTACGGTGTACTGTTTGTAAAGCACGACTTACAGACAACTTTCAGTATCCAATCGGCTTCGAGGAACATGGAAGGTACTTGCGGATTTTCCGCTCGGCAGGTGATCGACTTCCCGTTGTCGTCCGTCGAAGGCACGAACGTCATCTCACTGGTCGTAACGTTCTCTTTGACATCGTCTTGCTGCAATACAGAAACAACCACAGATCGTATTAGACGAAAATGTATTCAACACACATTTATAACGTATTTTTAATCAATAACGATATATATATATTTATAACAATAAATTAATAATCTATATGTTAGTGATACTATTTTTTTTCTGTCATAAGATCAAACCATTTGTATTCGAATAGATAAAATTAATTCCGTTTTAATTATTAAAATTGTCACTGATGTATGGTAACGAAAAATAATCGAATCAGTTTAAAAATATATACAATTGTTATTACTATATTATGCTATTTTAACCAATTAAGACACGTCTATAAAAAATGTCTGGATGAGTATGTTTAGAAAATTAAAAATATATACTAATACAAATAAGATAAGCAAATTTTACGTATGCAAATAAATTTATCTTGATATTTTAAAATATTGTTACAAAAATGAGTGCACGGAAGTGGTGTACTCATAAATTATAATAATATTTATTTTATATGAGCCGTTCATTACAAATTTGTATCAACACAGAGGGGAGAAAATAAATGAGATAATCTACTGTGGTGTGCTGTTTGTAAAGAGTACAGGGTGTACGGAAAAAGTTAATAATGAATTTCTATTTAAATATGTGTCATTTTAATATTCAATCCTGTAGACTCTTTTATTATAGGTGTTGATTCAAAGGAATTGAAGCCAAGTTAGATTATACTTTTAACCATAATCGTTGGGCAGATTAGTGTCATAAATAAATTTGATTACAAAAGTATAAGCCTTCAACGAGCGCTAACTATATAGCGAAAACATTTGTCCGTGTTATATTATAATTCGAATATGTCAGTCTTTTAGAGATTTCCGAGTTTCGTCGCGAAACAACGTTCATTGGATTCCTGTTACTAAAGATATTTATTTTAAGCTGCGGCTATCAAATTGTACAGTTGAATTTTAATAAAAATAGTCATCACCATATTTAGTATAAGTGATATATTATGGTTTTTTTTTCTCGCACATTCTGTTATTTACGTTTTTTTTTTTTTACACTTGGTTACTTGACAAATCAACAGGATAGTGTACGGTGTTGCTCGCGAAATCATGACTGGCCATATGGATTTTTATTATAACGAGACGGAAACTTTCGCGTGGCTGCTGCTATATCCAATTCGATTGCTCTAGTGTTATCCACATCACGTGGTCAGTTAACATACAAATTCGTTGTGTCATAGCGTACGCCATTGGCGTGGCACACTTTAATTATCAGATTAAATCGCCTTTTACTCTGCAAGGGTATAGGGTTGGTTATCGGTGCACTATTCGTATTTCACGTGCATCGATTTTGGTTTTAAATCTGGAAAATTTAGGCTTTCCTCGGAAAGATTGAAATTTTATCACGTTACTGTCTGTGTGGATAACGTGCGACAAACGTGTACGAGCGCGATTTTATTGAACACGTCATGAAAGCGTTCGAAGTCTGTGATTCGCATGAAACGTAAGACGAAGTAGCAACAGTGGGATCACATATTTCGTCGTTTGTTTACGACGATGATATTTAGTAGAACACTTAATTATAGGAACGAACATCGCGTGGGTTGTTTGTGAAACTTAACTTAACGATTTTTGGTATATATGTGCATTTTTCTCAATGCACACTTTGAAAGTCCTTTGATACTTTGCAATAACAATAAACATTAATATTTTTTTCACAGAATGCCTTTATTATAAATAACTTTTGTCAATTTAATATACTCCAATAAACCCGATTCAATTTCGTACGATTGCGTGTTTATTTTTTTCTGACCAAGAATATGTTTATTGTTGGTAGATTGAAATTGTAATCAAAAATATTTTTAAAGTTCCTATTTGTTATCTAATTTTGTTTAAATGCGAAAATATGCGCGTATATTTTATATTGATCGAAAAAAAATATATATATTATTACGAACAAGACGTTTACAAAACATCATTTCATCATTATGTTCGATTTAATTTCTGAGAAATAGCCTAGTGGTGAAAAGGCTGTTCCATGCTGATATAAAAAATAAATAAATAATAAAATTGGCTGTACTATATATAAATAAATATACGTGAATATATAAACCGTACGAATCCAAGTCTTTGAACACTATTATAATTGAACATATCCAAAACAAGAATATTTTACCACCAGATATCACGACCAGACCATTTCGTTGTCGACGCCGCGGCTCAAATCTATTCAACAAACGCTTGTTACTCGATTGAAAAGTTTTTTCCCGCGACCCGCCGCCAAGTATAATTAATTATTTTTAAAGTTTCCCGTTTTGAAAACGCAATAATAATATGATAATATAATATACACCCGCGCGCGTTGGATGACAGCGACACTGACGTTTAATTTAAAACCAAACGCACAATGAACACCGCGCGCCCGGTTGGTAAGTACAAGGGGGTCGTATTGTGGAGCAACCATGAGCGTTCCGTTTGTGGCGTGGACACGGAAGCAGTGGACAGCTCGTCATGTACGTTCGGACATTATTCTTTGCATCGGTCGCCACAATGGCTTGGATCCCGGTCGATCGATAACGCGCGTGATACCTATAACCACCCCCGTTGTAACCACTACTGATAACTTACACGACTGTTTTCGACCGTCTTCGAAATGCCGATACGATTTTCGCTCCTGTCACCTTCGTCGGATATACATAGCCGGTTATACGTAATCGTCGGCAACGGTATACGTCGCGTATAATATATCGTAGCAGCCCCGTACGGCTTGCACGCGACCGTGTTAAACCAGCGTTGGCGAAATATCGCGGGTAAAATATGTAAATTGCCCGGCGACGATATGGTGTTGGTGCGAAACGTTGGAGTTTCTGCCCATTAACAGTGTACGAGGGACGACCAGTGGAAGGGGACTGCAAGAAAGGTCAAAGATTCAGTTATTCCTACGGGAAAAGACGTCCGTCGGCGGCGGTGCAGGCGGTAGGGATGATGGTGTGGATGGGTGGTCGGCGAAAGGGGCGCGAGAAGGGTTGCCGAAAATGTTGCCGAAGGCGAAAATTCTTAAAGCTTCGATTATAATGTATACACCGTGTATTCGTGCGGTGCGCAGCGCAGCGATGTGAGAGACGGCGGTGGCTTTATACGGCGTACACGTCGGTACGCGCGTTTCTCCGTGCCCACTCGTCGACGTGCAAACCTCTAGTGAAACTCGCCCCCAAGCGATCGCGCAACCCTGTAACACCGACGGCGCCACGCAAAAAAGTCTACCGGAGTCCGATCGGCGCGTCCCCTCCCGGGGGTTTTTCGGTTTCGTTGATTCCGGTCTAAAAACATTGCTTCCGAGAAAACATACCCGCACGAACGCAGTTTATAATATTCACTGTATTATATTTATAAATGTTTATAGAACGTGGTGGAGGTGGCGATGGTGGCGGTAGGGGAACATATTATATTATGAAACTATCGTTCGGCTGGTTCCGTTTTTCACGGTTACGTAAAAAAAAAATGATGAACGTTCTGTTTAAAGTTTCATCGGGCATTACCGAAAGCAACGCATACTATCCTTCCACCGCTCGCTCCTTCCCATCCCTTCGCTACCGTTCTCGCGCTCGCACTCAAGAACCCTTACGATAATGTGTGTTAGTGTACATGTTTACGCGCCAGCATTGAGTTAAGTCCGTGAATTCTTCATGCATCATTTCCCGTGCTCCCACTTCGCCATCTCTCTCTCTCAAGCCCCACTCGGGTAACAGTTACATATTACGTACACCTACCCATGGCCCGTGGAACAAACGCGTATGTACGTGACGAACAAATTGTCTGCGCACGCGTTACCCATAAAATCGGAGGTTTTATTTTGTTTGTTTTATTTTTTCTTTGTATTTTTACCATCCGAACGAGACACGAGAGACGACCTCTCCTAGTGGTCCGTACATACTCACATACAATATACATACATACATACACGATTCAAGTTTACCGTGCACACCCTGCACTTCCCCCGTTACAGTCGTAAATCATAGGGCGATCTGGCGTGTGTACATATATAAAAACGTATTATACATATATATATATATATATAATATATAGCCGCCTGCACCTTACCGCCGGCAAGGAGGAAGACGAATGTGTAAAACAGAAAAAAGGTTCTAAAAGATTTTGCATATATATATATATATATATATACGATATATACGATGTCGACGTCTCCCTGGTATTTTTATTTTTTTATTTTTTATACCACTCAAGCAGTAATGACTTTAATAGATTACAGTCAGCGGTGTGTTGGAAACAGATAAAAGGCTAAAAAAAAGAAAGAGAAAAAAATCGACAGCGTCCGTGAAAATAATTCATGGTACATTCATAATTCAGTTTTTATACAATATTTTCTCACGCACCCGTCACCTATGGAATCTCACAATTTTTACCGCATTCTGTTTGGAAATATTTCAACTCGTTTGCTGTCCAACTACTACATAAATTATTCTACTTGAAACTTAATGTTTATTATTTAATCCCGACAAATCACGTGGCAACATTGTTTTCATAGGATATGTGGTGTTTTAGTTAAAGCTTAAAATTTAGTTGTACGCAAGCTATGCCTTTAATATATTGAGTTTTATCTGCAACCTGCTACTACATTCACCAAAACCGAATGATAATTTATAAATTTATAAAAACAATACAGATAATAATAAATAAATAAAAAAATCAATATTGTCACCGATTACAAACAATTGTTTGAGCACTACGTTTTGGGGGTTGCTTATTATAAAAGTGATGCAAATAATATTATTTATAATAATAATAATAATAATAATAATAATAACAATAATAAAAAAACCATTAGTACTTAAAAAATGTCTAATATTATTCCTACCGAGCATATTTCGCATCAGCATCATGGCCCAGATATACTGCTAACCCACTCAAAATATCCCTCAGACAAATGAATATTTTGTTGTTTTTTTCCATGTAAATAATTTATTCAAACGAAAAGTTTGCGCGTCCAATATTCATAAAGAAAAAAAATCCGCATCAAA